GAATATTTTAATTCTGGGAAATATATAAGATATATTATACATACAGTATATATTTCTATAACACATAAATATATATAATAAAGAACATATCATTGTATTATTTTATCTATGTTATTTGTGTTACATTAAATAATGTTACCTAAACTCTCAGAGTCCCAGACGATGGTTATAATAATGCCATTGATGATGGTGGAGATAACACGTCACTCCACCCAAACTCTTCCTTACTTCGCTGTTAGGATTCACTAATTTCTTTTATTTCTTTCTGTAAGGAATCAGGAGAAAAATGAAATGTCACTCAATATTCTTTCTTTTTCACAAATTTCCTGATTATTTGCATAATTGTCACAAATTTATTTTTCTAGATAAACGTTTAAGTTCTTTTGTCAATTTTTTACTCTAAAAAAAATACTGCTGAAATTTTTCTTGGAATTATACTTAAGTAATTTTCTAATCTGAGAAGAATTTATCTTTACAAAACTGATTCTTCCTAAGAACAAGGTCAGAGTTAAATTATAGTTTTTCTATTCCTCAGTAAACATTTTCATTTTTTAATATAGTTCCTACACATTTCTTGGTATTTTAATGCATAGGTTATTTTATTTTTATTATTGGTATATAATTGATCATTGCTATATAAAAGAATTATTTGTCTTTCTTTTTTAAGCATCGAATCTACTGTACTTTTAAGCATCTACCTTACTCTATTCTTTTTTTCTTCTTGTTTTCCTGGCCAAAAGAAATTCTTCAAATAATGATAGTTTTGCCTCTCCTTTTTAACATTTTTTGCTATTTTCTCATCCTTATTTCATTGAATTGCTTACAATTCCCAAAATAATGTTAAATAATATTAGTGGTAGTAGGCTTGTTCATTGTATCCCTCACTTGGTCTCTGTCAGTACAATAGGGGATGAATGGCATCTATCTCATTATAGTTTAGTTTGCATTTCTCTACTTATGGATGATTAAAGGGGCATTTGTATTACTTCTCTTGTAAATAGTCTGTTAGCATCTTTCTTTGTTAACTTACTTAAAATATCAAGTTGTTAAGAGCTGGAAGGGACCATGGAGTCTATTTCCTCATTTTAACAGATGTGGAAGGTAACCCAGGAGAAGTTAGTGTCCAGGAACTGCTTCTCCCAAATTTACTGCAAGACCTATAAATTAAACTGGCTACTGAGCCATTCTTGCTTGACTATGAGACAGCAAATGGTTCCAACTCCTCCATTTTTCACCTAAAATACCTTGTGTGAAATGTAGGGCACCGTGTGAAATGTAGTGTACTGTGGACAAGCAGGCATTCCTTCTGAAACCTAGAACCAAATTAAATTATTGGGACTGAACTTGGGTCCTAAGACTTAGGATAGATTCCAAGTAGACTTCAAAGCAAAGAACATTACCTGGGATATATAGAGGGCTTTTTCATAATGGTGAAAGGATCAATTCATCAACAGTACAATCCTAAAGATTTAAGTACCAAATAACAGAGCTTTTAAGACATATGAAGCAAAAACTGATAGAGACAGATAAGGAGAAATAGAGAAATCCACAATTATAACTGGAGATTTCAAAACACTTTCCTCAAAAATTATAGATCAAGTAGACAGAACATCAAAAAGAGTATAGAAGACTTGAACAATACTATCAACCAATTTGACTTAATTGAGATTTATAGAACATTCTACACAATGACACTAAAGCACATATACTTTTTTAAGTATATGCAAAAATGTTTTCCATGATAGACTACAGTCTAGACCATAAAACAAATCTCAATAAATTTGAAAGGATTCGAATCATACAAAGTATATTCTCAGAGCCTAATTAATTAAATTAGAAATCAATGGCAAAGATATTCTGAAAGTTCCCAAATATTTGAAATTAAATTTTATATTTCTAAAAAATTCATGGAGATAAAATACTGCCATTTGCGACAACCTGGATAGACCTCAAGATAATCATGCTAAGTGAAATGAGCCAGACTAAAAAAGGTGACAATCACATAATATCACTTATATGTGAGATATAAACTTAAAAGCAACAAATGAACAGAACAAACAGAGACTCGGGAACATGGACAATGGACTAGTGGTTACCAGAGGGTAAGGGGTTGGGGAGGAGGGAAGA